ACCGGTTTGGCGCAGAGGATAGAGCGTCGGCCTGCGGACTGAAGGGTCCCAGGTTCGATTCCGGTTGAGGGCATGTACCTGGGTTGCGGGCACACCCCCAGTAGGAGATGTGCAGGAGGCAGCTGATCGATGTTTCTAACTATCTCTCTCCCTTCCTCTCTGTAAAAAAAAAAAAAAAATCAATAAAATATATTTAAAAAAAAGAGTCAACTATATTTTCAATCAGAGGTTGGGCATATGCATATGAGGAGGGCTGACTTAAGTTACATGCAGATTTTTTTTTAAATATATTTATTGAGTTTTTACAGAGAGGAAGGGAGAGGGATAGAGAGTTAGAAACATCAATGAGAGAGAACCATCGATCAGCTGCCTCCTGCACACCCACTACTGGGGATCTGCCCGCAACCAAGGTACATGCCCTTGACCAGAATTGAACCTGGGACCCTTCAGTCCGCAGGCTGACACTCTATTCACTGAGCCAAACCGGTTAGGGCTATTATTTCTTAATTAAAACACAAAACACACCATATATAACTTTAAAATATTTTATTAATACCAAAACTCATTCTTTATTTAATATGCTTGTGTAAATACAGGGAGGGGGGAAAAATAGGTTTCAGTTGTGAGTGTGGAAAAGTAAATAATATTACAAGAATAGCTCAGTGCTACAGATTGAGAAGTCATTCATGAAAAGAAGTCAATCAATGTGGCGAAGTTCATTGTCTTAAGAAACTGCCACAGTCACCCACCATCCTGATCAGTCAACAGCCATCACCACTGAGGCAAGACCCTCCACCAGCAAAAAGATTACAAATTATTGAAATCTGAGAGGATGGTCCCTAATGCCATTTTACTTAATACTGGTCCATCATTACCTGGGACTGGGTTGTGTGTGAACATGCTTTCAAGGACTGTTGGTGGGATTACAGAGCTTCGCTGATGATGACTGCAAATGCAAGTGTTACCTCAGAGTACGTGGGAAATTGTCAAGGATAATTTGTTTCCTGGTCATGTTAGATTTATTACTTGGAATTTGATAATGTACACATAAAGAACATGTCTCAACTATAAAAAAATAATACAAGAATAAACAGTTTCGCATACTCACAACTGTAAACCTACTTTTGCCCCACCCTGTATATAATTAAGACGAGAATGGAAGGATATGTTTCAAAATATTAATAGTGACTATCTCTGAGGAGGGTAGAATTATGGGCAATTTCATTTGTGTGTATTTAGAAGAATATAAGCTTATCTTCATTTTCTAAGTTTTCTACAATAAATGCATTACCCATATACTTTCTGAAAAAGCCTTTTGTCATTGTTATTATTAGTTACTTCGATATTCTACCTTTAAAGTAGTCAACTCATTACTGAACTCAATGAAAGTATATTTGAATATCCAACCACCATTTATTAAGCCATTGGTATTTTCCGTACATTACTGTATTTAATTTTCACAACAGTTTCATCAGGTAGTATTATCATCCCCGGATAAGGAAGCAGATGCTTGAAGAGGTTCATTTGTCAAAATCATACAGTAAGAGATGTGTTGGTTCTCCTTCTGCTGGGCTGACCCATCCTTCCTACCTTTGACTGTCCACGTTACATTCTCTATTACAGGAGAGTCGCTCTGTCACAGGCTGGTGTAGCCTCTCAGATACTCTTCTTTAAAAGCACATTTAAAGTATTAAAGTTGGTAATTTTTAAATGATTGTATGTATCATAAAAAGACTAGAAAGAGCCCTAGCTGGTTTGGCTCAGTGGATAGAGCCTTGGCCAGCAGTTTTAAGAGTTCCAGGCTCAATATCAGTCAAGGGCACATACCTTGTTTGCAGGCTTGATCCCTGGCCCTGGGCAGGGCACGTGCAGGAGGCAACCAATCAATGTCTCTCTCTGACTCTCCCTCTTCCTTCCATTCTCTCTAAAAATCAATGGGAAAATATCCATGAGGATTAACAAAACAAAACACACAACAAAAAGACCAGGAGGACATGCTCCCAACAATATATATCGCCAGGGAGTGGAATTGGTAGTGGATAGACTTTTACTTTCTGAGCTTTTATACTCATTTGTTTTTGTGGGTTTTTTTTCCTTTAAAAAAATTTCCAATCGTTTTTTAAATAGATGAGTCAGAAAAAAATTACAGACTTTGCCTATATTGTTTATCTTTTGACCACTGCTGCATCTCATATAAGGTTTATTTCACAAATCACAAATCATTTCCAGAAATGCATATCAAAATGTATACTGCATCACCAACTTCTTGTCTTCTCATTCAGATCTCCTGTTAGACTATAATCCAAGGTCTCTATCTGACTACTGACTACTGTATCTTCAAAGCTACAACAACCGCTCAGTGAAAACATTTGGCCCATAACTGGCAAATGAATAAGTGAAGAATATATACTTTCCTCTTCCCCAGTTTTAGACACACTGACATAATCTTATATTAACTTTGAGATTAGAACATATGTTAAAGTCAGATAAGAGGGGAAAAAATGTAGAGAATTATCTTTGCTTCCAAATCTTCACCCCTTGCCAAAGGTGGCTGTTAGGGGTTGAATTGTGGTTTTGACCCCCAAAAGATTATGTTGAAGTCCTAACCTCTGGTACCTTAGACTGTGATGTCATTTGGAAACAGGGGCTTTACAGGTGTAATCAGTTAAGATGAGGTCATCCAAAGGAGGGCGAGTCACTAATCCAATATGCCTGGTGTCCTCACCGGAAGACAGCTGTGTGAAGACAGGATCTGGGTGATACGTACACAAGCCCAGAGATGCCAAAGATTGCCAGGAAACCACCCGAAGCCAGGAAGGATTCCTCACAGGTTTCAGAAGGAGCTTGGCCCTGCTGACATCGTAATTTCAGACTTCTAGGTTGCAAAACTGAGAGGCAATAAACCTCTGTTGTTTTAAGCCACTCACTCAGCTTGAGGTACTTTGTTATGGCAGCCCGTGGAAACCAACACAGTGGCCTTGACTTTGAATTCTTACAAGTCATGGGGGAGGAGTAAACAGCCACCTGAATGTCATGACCTACAGGTTTGCAGTGACTTCCCAGCGTGCTTTATGATAATGGAAATATTTTCAAGAACATGCCCAGTCAACACAGGAATGTTAGAAAAGCAAAACAACAGGTCACAAGTTTTAATACGCCTAGGTATTGATATAAAATTTTAAAAAAATCAGTGTTACAACACCACTTCTCCAGAATTAACATTTACAATTGTAGTAAAATAAAGTTTCACAAAGTTAAATTTCCTAAACGCTTCATTTCAATATTAATCTAAATTTTTACGGTCTACCGAAATGTATTATTTCATCTATTTTATTTTTAAAGCATTGGTGCTCTTAAGTGAAATGTTTGTTAGCACGGGACCTCAATACATAAAATAGAAAGGGAAGCTGTTCTAGGTGGGCGGGGGGGGGGGGCACCCTCTGCATTTCCATGTTTTCAGCAGTTTCACTTTAGGAAATTCTTTGGACACCAATTATTTGAATGGCAGCTATACTGAGCAGAAATTGTATTTCCACACCTGGGAAATTACAAGATAAATGCTGCTGAACTGGATCCAATAACAAGGATTTTCAAAAAATGTTTTAAGGCAGTTCATTGTTCATATTAATAAAAATAAAACATTTCTCATGAATAAAGCCCCAAAGCCAAGATAGTTCCTGGGAAGATGAAGCAGCCCAATAAGTGAAAGGGGGATTCTAAGTAAATGTAACATCATGGGGCCCAAGGATAAACATCCAAACAGCAGAGAAAATGTCCAAACAACACCCACATGGTCCCATGAGATGGAACAGCTGGCTGTGGAGATGTGTGCCCAGG